AAAGATGAGGTTCAGAAAATGGACTTTGGGAATGTGGGAATCATGAAGGATGTTTTTTCTTCATGCCAGTTCCCAGCCCTGATTTGATGGCTATAGGAAAGGCTGTAAGTACATCTTTAGTCCAGCTCCGGTGCACTTCTAGATTATGGTTTGAGAAATGGGAAGATAGGAGACAGCCTCTTGTCTTTTAGAAAAGGCTTCAAAACAGCAGAGGAGTTTTCTTCCTGTGATTCTTGTTCAGCCTTTTCCGGGCCCCTCAGAGTAACCAGGCAGCACCTGCTCCCTCAGCAATCATGATGCTTCCAAGACCTCCATTGTTCTTGCTGTAAGTGTCCACCATTTTCTAGTATCCTGAGGTTCAGGCCCCATCAGGGTCCCTCAACATTATTTTCTGTACAGAGAATGAAGTGAACTTCAGTAGAGAGAATGAAGAGAATGGGTGTGTTTGGAAGCCAAAGACCCAAGGGAGGCCTGTTCCAAGTGGGTTAGAAAAATAAAAACACAAGTGAAGGGAAAACAGCTCTTGGGTGCCAGAGGTGGGGCTGGCCAAGGCTCTGGCTGCCTGAATAATGGGTTCCACATTGGTCTGGCTCTCTCTGAGACTGAGATCCAGGCTGCATGCACACTGAAACTTGCAGGGGCTAGAGGGGACAGCTCTACCGAAGTCAGATCTAGGCATACCCTTGTAACAGCCCCATCCCCAGCCACAACATGGCCAAGACATTGTTGTGAACCAGGCTCCAGCGTCCCAGCCTCCCCACACCCATGCCGGAGGCTCCTGGGTCCTTGCCGCAGGCCTTCACAGATTGTTTGAGTTATTAATGCTGTTTCCCAGAGATTCCATCTGGCTTTTTAATTGCTCTGGGATGGGGTTAGGAAGCTTTGATAGTGAATTAGCATCTTTCCTATGTCTCTACTTATGTCAGATGCTCTATCCACAGAGAGCGGCATGAGAGATTAAGGTGGAGGGGGTTGGGAGAAGAGGAGATAGCATAAATCTCTTCAGAAAGTTAAGAAATATTTTTCATAAGTACTGGTGGTTTAGTTTTATTTAAAGAAAAGCCCGTCCCCTCCCCTACCTGTCAGTATAGAAAGGGAACAGAATGAGATCTCACCACTGTCCCGGAAAGGACCCTTGACCCCATATCTGTGGAAGGCCCTGGGGGTGTTCGGGAAGGAGAGGCCATTTGGCTGAGCAAGGTCAGGGTTTCTGTTCCCCCTTGACCTTGGCCACCACCCATGGAGAACATCTGGCAGGTTCCTGCCTGGGAAGGAGGGGGCGGGAGACCTGGGAGGGGCAGAAACTCCTCACCAGTTCCAGTAGCTCATCACAGGTGCCAGGGCCAAACTTCGTGCTCATAGATTCCCAGGAGATCCAGGAGATAAGGGTGACATTGGGGACAGCACTAAAGCATCAGGAGCCTCCTCTGGTTGCAAAGGAGCCTCCTCCCTCACTCCCTCCTGCCTTTGCTTCCTCCTGCCCTCACTCCTTCCCAGCAGGCTGGCTCCCCTGAACAGTGACACTGGGACACCTGGGCTGGGGGAGTGGTGGCCCAGGAGGGAAGTGAAGTCCCTCTGTTAGGTGCTATGTCTTGTGTAAGGCAGGAGCATCTGAGCAGCTTGGGACTGGGTTCAAGTGGGACTGCCTCACCCATCTAGGTCAAAGCTGCTGCCTCCAGAAAGCCTTCCTCGGTGGCCCCTGTTCCCACTTTGAGCTTCCCCTTATCACACATATCACACTTAAACCACATCTTCAGGCCACAAGACTGTGAACTCTCTGAGAGCAGAGAGAGAGTCTGGTCATTGCCCGCTGAGTGCCCCTTTCTGGGCACAGGCCTGAGCACACACGAGGCATCCAATAAATACTTGGGGTGGTCTCAGAGTGGTTCTTCTGAAGGAAGCAGCGGTGAGAAGGGAAAGCTTTCCCTGGGAGACACTTTGTGCTGGGCACAGAGCATGCACTGGGTACGCTGGGTACGTTCACCCCACAGGCTCCTGAAGGCCTCCACCCCCACCCCCACCCCCAGCAGGCAGCTCTGTCTACTGTGGGCCCCACTGGCGGCCCTACCCACCCCATCCCTTTCCTGGGGCTGGATGTGGTTGGATTCATCTTGTCCCCCCGAGTCTGCCCTGGACCTCAGGATCTGCAGTAGGAGGGAGTGCCCTTCCGCAAGCTGACAGCTTTGAAAGAGGAAACCCCTAGAGAAGGTGGGGCGGGGAAGGGAGGGCAAGAGGGCGCCCCTCCCCCACTCATCCTGGGACTTGTTCTGGGGGCAAAGGAGGAAGCTGAGGATCGGCCCCCTCAAACAAGAAAAACTGGAATTAGCACTGAACTCAGAGAGGGTTTGCTGGGTGCCTAGCAAGCTGTGGCCTGTCCCAGGCCTCTAGGCAGGCTCTGCGGCCCAGCCTCCTCGGTTCCCAGGGCGGGAGGGCAAGCCAACACCTCCTCACTGGGCTCGTGGCCTTTCCTCTGCCAAGGGCTGCAATGGGTAAGGAGGTGGCAAGAGGAAGGATAGAGAGGGGAGGAGGAATGAGGGCAGGGGACAAGTTGCCCCTGTTAACCATGTAGGAAAGTAAACTGAAAGTTTCTGTAATTAAAAAGAATTTGTAATTTCTCAAAAATGCTTCCATCCTCGTTGGCATGTTCTACAATCTGCACAATGAAAACAAAAGGTAAAAGGTGCTTTAACTTTTACCCTCAGAGAGGAGAAAATCTGGAAAAGCCCTGTCACCTCCTGGACTACTTTCTCCCAAGGCATTATTTAAGGACTGAGGGCGAGCCTTTCCATGATTGGGTGTCTCTGCTGCTAAGTGCGTGCTCTGGTACCTGTCCTTGTGAGATAGCCATTGGAGTTGGGGTATCATCAGGAGTCAGCCTCCTGCTTGGTCCTGGCTGGGCACAGGGGGAGGACTGAGGCTGGGGCTGGTTCTTGGGCTGGAGTTTGGTGGCCAGCATGTGGGCAATGGCCGGACACCCAGGTGGAGGCAGCTTCAGCCCATGGCAGCACTGCTGTGGCACCCTTCCTGTGCTGGGCTGGGGTAGAGCAGTTGTGGCGGTTGGGTGGAAATGTACACAGCTTCAGGGCATCACTGGAGTGGCTGTAGCCACGTGGCCTAGGAAAGTGAAGGTGGAGGGTCCCACTGCTCAGGGCTCTTCCAGCCTGCCCTGGGTCCTGTTGGAGAGATAAGCAAGGCTGCTTGGCGCTTGAGTTGTGAGTGATTTGGTAGCAAGTGTGGCCAAGGGCCCCTTGAGCTGCTGGGCCAGGTCTGCCCAAGTTCTGAAGAGGCCTTGGAAGCCTCGGGCTGAGGACTCCCTCTGAGCCCCTCTTCTTCCAGGGGCAGATGAGATGCCATACCAAAGGGCCGTACCCCCAACCCCCAAAAAGAGACTCACTCTCTTGGGGCTCTGGACATTCTCAGCTTGGAGTTTTGTCCGCACCCTGCTATTCATCTGCCTTGTTTGGAAAACATCAATCCCTAAGGTGAAGAGGGGCTCAGGATGAGTGGAGAGCGAATGAAAGTCGGGCTTTCAGCCAGAAAATACGCTGTGATAATTTACAAAAGTGACCAGGCTTACGACAAACCTTGGAAGTAGCTTATTTCTGGTTTTAAAAAGACACCGAAATTCATTTTGATATATTTATATTATAGATATAATACATAAAACCCCTAGCATGAAACTCTATGATGTCCCAAAAAGAAGAGAATCAAACTGTTCTTCCCTGCCCCGGCCCCCAGTGATCTGCGTTCCCGTCTATATACTGGCTGGAAACCGCCTCCTTTCCAGACCTGGAGCCAGGGCCTCTGGGGGACAATCCTGTGGTCAGCCTGGGCTGGAGGGGATCACGGCCCACAACCACCCCCAGGGAAAGCTGAGGGGGAAGGGGAAACCCACCTCACCTCCTTGGTGCCATGAACGCAAGAGCAATCCCAAAACCAAAAGGAAAGAGGGCTTGGACCCTCCCCCATGGTGCTGACAAAGAGTCTCATTTTGGCAAGTATCTGAGCAAAACCAAAACAAAACAAAAACCAACTAAAATGGTGGTTTAGGATAGACGTGCACATTCCCATTGCACAAGGCACCACTGGGACACAGAGAGGCCAGATACAAGTGTTGATATCGGCTGATAAAGCAAAATATCTGGAAAGCTTCTCATAACTCTGGTCCCTCTGGGATGGACTGATTGTGCTTCATGTTCCTATCACATGCTGGCGACATAGAGTACCGACAAGGCCATGTTCCCAGTGTCCCTTCACCCCCTCCCCAGCCCCAGACAAGGCCTCTACTTCCCCTCTTTCACCAGGCCACCACTCCCACTACACATGTCCTTATGGTTAACTCACAGCCTAGCTTTCTGGTCTGACTGGGGATAGGGGGGGAGTCACAATGGTCACCTGGTGACCCCCAACTCAGTGAGTCTGCCAGGGGAAGACCAGCCTGTTACAAGAACTAGGTACCCTTTCCTTTCTGTAGACCTAGGGGAGCAACCTTGGGTTCAAAGCCCCTAGTCCTTGTGTTTCCTCCCTTGTAAGGAGAGGTGCTAAGGAACTGGCCTGATGGGATCAGCTACCTGAACTTTCCTTCTGCGTGGGTCTCCATCCCTGGTTCTCTCATAGGACCTGCTGCAGCCTCAGGAAGGAGGCAGGTACCCTCCAAATAAAATGGCAAGGCACATATTTGCTCCCTCTACTCGGTAGGAATCGGAGCGGCGAGTTTGCGTTTCCAAGGCACAATGTTAATCCTTAATACTAGAGTTGCTGGGCTCCCGGCTCAGCCCCACTGGCTTCTCTCCTCTCCCAAGGAGAGCCACTGCCCGACCTCTCCTCTTGGAGGCACCGAGTCCACACAGGAAGAGAGGGGGCATGCGGGACGGGCCAGACTTTCAGGGATCTCCCAGGCTTGGCTTGCGTGGCTTGGGCAGCCTCGAGATCCGCCGACCCGAAACCATTCCCCGGGTCCCCGCCAGCGGCCGGCCCAAGGGCGGTCCCGCCGCGGCGCCTCACGCGCAGTTGCCCATGGCCTTAACCAGGGAGCTTTCGGGCAGCTGACGGAAGATGCCCCGCAGCGTGTCCAGTTCGCGGCTTAACTGTTCCACCCGCTTGCGCAGGCGGTCATTGTCACTGGTCAACTCCAGCACCTTCTGCTGCGTTTCCACGTTGCGCTGCTTGGCCTTGTCGCGGCTCTTGCGCACAGCGATGTTATTGCGCTCGCGCCGCACCCGATATTCGTTGCTGTTCTTGTCCACCGACTTCTTGGCCTTGCTCGCGCCGCCGCCACCCCCGCGGAGGTCTGGGTGCGCGGCCGCCAGCCCCTTGAGCGCGCCGCCTGGGCCGGGCAGGCCGGCAGCGCCGAGTGCAGGCGCTGGGTGCGGGCTGGGCACGGGCGTGGGCGGCGGCGTGGGGTGGCCGGGCTGCAGGTGCATGGTGGTCTGGCCGCAGTGCGCGATCTGGAACTGCAGGTGCGGGGCTGCCAAGTGAGAGGACGGTGGGTGCGGGTGCGGCGGCGGCGGTGGTGGCTGGTAGGGGAAGAGGCCGGCCAGCGCCAGCTGCTTCGCCTCGTCCTCCTCGCGCGGCTCCTGCTTGATTACCAGCGGCCGCAACGCCGGCGCCCCGACGCGCTCGTACAGAGGTTCCAGCCTGCCGTCCAGGTAGCCGGCCGCAGCGCAGCCGTAGCCAGGAGCTGGACCGTGCGCCCCCCCGGGCATGACGGCGCCGCCGGAGCCCGTGGGGGCGCCCAGGTAGTCGAAGTCGCCGCTGCCGCCCGCGGGGCCCGCAGCCGCCTTGGCCTTCTCCTGCTGCCGGCTGTGCTGGAACAGGTCGGCCAGGAACTCGTCGTTGAAGGCGGCTGGGTCGATGTAGGCACTGATGTCGATAGACGTCTCGTGTTCACAGATGCCTCCCAGCGGCTCCGGGGCGGCAGTTGGGGCAAGGGGCTGCGTGGGGCCCGCGCCCCGGGGAAAGCCGAAGGCGGCGCTGCCGGACCCGTGAGGAGGGCTCTGTATGTGGCTGCTCATCGGGGGCCGCGGCTCCGCCTCGTAGAAGTCGGCTGACTCCATGGGGGAGCTAGAGTCCTCCCGGCATGGCGAGCCTCTGAGGCCTCCAGCCTGCGCAGGGCGCCGAAGCCGCTACCGCCCACCCAGTCGCTCGCGCCCGTGCAGCTCCCGGTCGCGAATGGCCAGGCCCCTAAGGGCCCTGTATTTATTACCGGAGCGGCGGTCGCCCTCTGCTGTCCAAACCCGCCTCTGACCACCGGCGGCAGGAGCGGCGCCTCCTGGGTCTTAGCGCCAGGCCTTCGTGGGCAGTGAGTGGGACCCAAGCGCAGCGCGGGTGGGGTGGAGCTGCGGCACAACGCCCACTGCCCCCTGCGCCGTGAGCCAAAACGTCGCGAGGGCGCCATGCCGGACCCGGGACCGTGCTGTTGCCCCGGTGCACACGTGGCCCGTAGCGGGGGTCCCCTCCATTCGCGTCCCCAAGGCACCCACCCACTTCCAGGCAACGGCCGGGGAGCCTGGGAGCACCCAAAGGCCGCGCAGGGGTGTGGTGGAGGGCTGCTGTCGGTCTTTGGGCTACTGTGGCGAGGACTTGCTTAAATGTGAGAATCCAGCTTTACACCGAACCAGGGTACCCTGGAAGGCGGCGGCGCAGAGCGGGGTGGGGTGGGGGACTGTTTTGGACGCACCGCCCAGCTCACACCGCCACTCTGGGAGGCCGATGAGAGTGGACCGGGCGCGGTGACTGCGCCTTCTCTCTCCGATCTCCAGGCCCCACCGATTCCACGCAGAATCACCTGTGCCCCGCCTCTCGGGGTACTCCGGGGTCCCTCGGCGCTTTAGCGCAGGGCGCTAGGACCTTGAGGGGCCAGCGGAGGGAAGGGAAGCGGAGGCGGCCGCAGCTCGGAGCCGGGAGGACCTCGCCAGTCGAGCCGCTGGGACTGGAAAAGTTTCTCTCTTTAATCCCTTCTCCAGGCCCAGCGCTAGGGTTGGCTAGCAGAGCCGCCAATTATTTCCTGCGGAACCGACTGGCGGGCAAGGTCCCGCGTGGGCCGAGAGAGACTCTCAAGCTGGGGCCGGGGCGGTGATGTGAACTGGACTCCGAGATAGGGATCGAGGGACGGTGGGCTAGTGCCCAGCGCAGCCGGCGGTCGGCGGGGTTCGAAACCACCGCTTTCTCCCCCCACTCCCTATTCAGGTGGGCGCCGACGTCCAGAGCGAGGACGTCGAGGGTATCGGAGCCTTGGAGTGCCTGGGTCTCGGAGTCCAAGTGCCCGTGGCCTCAAGGCTGAGCACTCAAGGGGAGAATCTCATCGAGTGTACTCTGCAGCTCCGCCGCCGGGTCCCCGGGATCCTGCGGGGAGAGGCGGCCAGGCCCAGGTGTCTCTTGGCGGCCAACAGCCTAGGCGCTCACCGCTGCAAGGATCAGGGATTTGCGGCTGCGTGTCTTCCCAACCATTTGGAGCCCTGCAAGTTCTATCCCGGGGTGTCCCGGGCGGCCGGGGGCGTGGGAGACGAGTGAGCCCACCAAGTCCCTGTCGCTCCGCCTCTGCGCTCCGTTGTGCCTTGCTCCTTCTTGCGCGGAGGCACGCTGCTGCCTGCATGCTGGTTGAATGCGCCTACTCCTGGCCACCTTGCTGCACAGGTCAAGGCCCCGTCCCACACAAGGGCCTTCCAAGGCCTTCCAAAGCTCCACAACCCGCCTAGGAGCACTCACGTAGGTGCAACGCCAAAAACCGTCGGGGAGGCCAGAGTTCCACTGTGGTTACTTGCAGAGAAGCGATGTCGTCTGGGGAACGCATATTATGCTTTAATCAAATTTCTATTCAACATATTCTCAATGATTAATGGCCCAACTGCTTCATTTTCGGTCCGATCTCATAAACAAGATATTTTTAGCTTTATGTTCTTGGATTGAGGGAGTAAAAAGTAGATACATTGAATAAGTAACCTGTTGCGAGCTGAAGAGCTGCTCTCCGGGCCAGATTTGCCAGGCATGACAGAGACCTGCAGGGAATCCCCGAACCTGCTGTGCTAAAAACAATGGCTTCTCCCGGTGCAGGAATATGAAAACACCGTCCTGGAACAGATAGATGTGAGAGGAAGGTGACAACTCAGCCCGTCCACAGAGTTGCTGTTTGAAGCGCAGGCAGCCCTGCAGTCTGCAGGAATTTCTCCTTTTCTGACTAGAAACAACCCCACCTGCCCCAGGGCTGGGAGAACAGTGGGATGGGACCTTGTCCAGGTTCCACTGAGTATGTGGGGGGTGAAAGAGGTACTGAGTGGAACTCCCACATACAGGGCCAGCAAAGTCTTCCCTGATGGGGACCAGAATTTTCCCACAGAGGCCTGCTCTGTGCAAGGTGGAGTAAGAAGTAGTCCCTGCCCTCCCCCAACACAGAACACAGAGACAGATAGGTCATCACACACACGCTTCTGTAAGAGGAGGGCTTCTCAGAGGAGGTGGCAGGGAAAGAGCTGGGGATGCAAATGGCCACAGGCACTACTTCATTTATTCATCAAATGTCAGTAGGGGACACGGGGATAAAGGGTGTGTCAAGATAACACGCATCCTGCTTTGAGGAACAGGGGACTCTGGAGGCAGTGACAGCCAGTTTCATCATGGGAGGTCAGAGAGGGGCTCCTGCAGGAGTGGACCTTTGAGTTGCACCTTGAAGGATGAGCAGGCATTTGGCTGAAGGATAAGAACGAAAGGCCTGTCTAGGAGGCGGGAATGGCAGGTACAAAGGTGGAGGGGCTGTGGGTGTATGGCGTATTCTGGTCACAAAGGACAAGACTTTTGACTGGGGAGAGTATGGGAAAGTTGGAGGAGGGGCCAAGATAAGGATGCATCCACAGAGAGACTGGTTGATGGTGAAGGCAGCTTCAAGTGAAGGAGTTTGGACCTTCTATCACAGGTTTTCATCCTCCAGTTTTTAGCAGGGTAGTGCTGTGGTCCGGTTTGGGTTCCTGAAAGAAAGACCACTCTGGCAGGAGTTAGTAAGGGAAGAGAAAAACAATGAAAACCTGAGCTGAGGTCCCAGGGTGCAGATAGAAGGGTGGTGGTGGTGGTGGTGGTTTGAGCAATATTGCTGTTGTTACGTGCCGTGGAGTCAGACCCAACTAATAGTGACCCCTCCTTGGGTTTCTGAGGTGGTATCACTATGGAAGTAGACTGCTCAACCTTCCTTTCGAGGAGTGGCTGGTAGGTTTGAACCACCAGCCTTCTGGTTAGCAGTCAAGTGCCTTAGGCACTATGCTACCACAGAGAAGGGGAAAGAAGTCAGGACTTGGCTTTTAGCCATTCCTTCTTATAAGTAATGCAAGGAAAATGGAGGACCGCCCCTCCAAACCCTAGGTGGCCACAGTGGAGCCTCAGGACACCTGCCTGTCTGCTTCATGGTTTTAGAGAAGGGGACTATTGCCCAGGAACAATTGCCAATACCCACTGGCTTATTCTAGCTTTTCTTAGCCTAAGAGACTATCTTGAGATGAGGAAGAAGTGGTTGAGAGGGGTGGGCTGACTGATGCTCATGGGTGGGGGAGCACCCAGGGGCCCAAGGAATGTCCTGGAGCTGCCCAGGAAGGCCTGAAGCAGGCATTGGTGAGCTCCTAGGGGGGATAGAGCCATTTTCCATGGGAGGTGCCACGGACGGTGTGTGTGTGTGTAGCGGGCAGAGGTTGCTTGCTGAGGCAGGCAGCACTTGGCTGGAGAAATGGGGGTGACCAAGAATCACCTGGAAGGGAAGTGGCTCATGCTCAATTGAGACAGACCCAGAAATAGGAGAAGCTTGTAAATCCTGTCTCTGACCACCTTTAAGATCCTTTATATTGTGTATTAATTGATGGCAACTTGGAGGTCCTCAAGAGAGATCCAAGGGAGGGTACTGAAATACAAATTTACCTCAATGTACTGTGCATCAGGCCCCCTCCTTGACAGGGCTATCAGCTCAGCAGGAGTCAGGGGGAGAATGTGGCGACTGGAATGTACCCAACACACCCTGACTCTGGCTTTGCTTTTTACAAAGGAGAAAACCAACAACAGAAGTGACAATTTAATAGGCGTGATGTGTGTTCCTGACAGTTCAGAGGAGGAAGCTGCTGAGCTGGGGAAGGCCAGGCCAGGTGTGAGCAGGCCAGGTGGGGAAAGTGGGAGTGGGAGCCTCCATAAAACGTGGTCCTGAGTTTTATGTGCTCCAGGATGCAGTCTCGTTCCAGAGTCATTCACAATGCTAACCATTTTGATAAGACAAACAGGACCCTAGGAAATTTTTATTTCACCTTGATTCAACCTTCCTAATGCAATGCACAAAGGAGCCCCAGTGGTGCAGAGCCTAAGGCATTTGACTGCTAACCAGAAGGTTGGCAGTTCAAACCCACCAGGCACTCTGAGGAAGGCAGATAGGGCAATCTACTTCCATAAAGATTTACTGCCTTGGAAACCCAATGGGGGTTGCTATGAGTCAGAGTCTACTTGATGGCAGTGAGCTTTTCTTTTTTTTTTCTTAAAATGCAATGCACACAAGAGAATTAGTACGTAAGTTTGAAAATGAATCGCGTTCTGAAGAGCAAAAACAGAAATAACCTTTCTGATTTATTTTCTAACTTTATCTAAAGGTAAAGTGTGGACGTAAGATTGGTCAGTCAGAAGCAGGACTAATTAAGATAAAAGCCAAGAATGATGATTTTTAGGCATGGTTGCGCTCTGATTGGGGGGCATGAGTATCTTATATCTAATACAATTTCAATTAGAGAACTCTAGATCGTCCTAAAACAAGCCAAAAACAAACAAACAAAAAAACACAAGAAGACTAGTTACCTTTTATTACAGATGCATTTGCTAATGAATTTTATACTAATTCATTTTGTGCGTTAGGTATTTTGGGTCCCTAAAGTATAGGGACCCAAAGGACCCTCAGCAAAAACTAGTGTTTCTTATAATAGACTCCTCACTCTTGGAGAAATTATTCTTACCATCTTTGATAACAAATCCAGGAGGCTTAGTGATGTAGGGAATTCCTCAGACCTGTTAAAACCACTGCTTTACCATTTATTAGCTGGATAATCTTAGGTAGTTACTGAATTTCTCTGAGCCTCTGTTTTCTTCTCTATAAATTGGGGGCAATAATTTCACTGTAGGATCATTGGATGAGGGAGAATATATGT